TGGAGAACACCGCTTGTGACCGGCCACCATGCCTGGGGGAGAATGTATGCTAAAAATGCCTTTTGTTTTTTTGTTTTTTTTTTTTTACCCTGTGTGCCTTGCTGTACTAGGAAACCCTGGAGAGTTTGTTCTGCTCCTCAGAGGAGGGAGGGAGGGACTGCTCGGGCCTTATGCAGGTTACAGAAGAGTGTCCCACATTGACATTATGCACCTGCTTATAATGAATAACACATATGGCTTTTTTGTCAGCACTTCTTGTCAATGGTTGTGCTAGTTCCTTATAAGATCCTACCTTTGACTATCTAGGGAATTAATCATTCCCCAGCTCCCTAAATATGGTGGAGATTGTATTGAGGGGGAAAAAAAAAAAAGGAATTTTCAGTGCTGTAAATCTTGTTTACTGAAAACATTTACTGGTATAGCACGTGGAGAACATTATCCACATATAACTTTGTATGTTGTGGCTGGCTTACAAAGAAGACCTTATCATGCAGTGTGCAATTCTAATTTCATTTTTAAGTTCAAACTATATCAAGTATTGCCTGTAATTGAAAAGACCCAGAAATTAGTGTGTGTGCTGCTCTTAACTCACGTCATTACTTTGCGTCTTTTTCTTTTCCTTAATGTAAAGGAATTTGTGGTAAAGCATTATTAAATTTGGGCAAGTATTATGAATGTATGAATACCCAATTTATAACTATTTGATTCTGAGATAGTAAATGTTACTGAGAAGATTGTATTTGGGCCAGTTGCTTGGCATTCAGGCAGTTTTGGTCCAGCACTAAAATTTGTATATAAATAGATCCTTCATCAGGTCAGGTCATTCTCAACAGATTGGCCTCTGTGCCTGAAGGGGAAGCTTGGTGGGCAGGTGTGGAGACTATCACACATAAGAGCTCTATTCTCTTGCCAGGCAGTCACTTGAATAGACCTCTTCCCTCTTGTCAAGTGACCATGGAGTTACAGTAACCCTGGAGCAGTCTAATTAACATGACCTCTATCTTTGGCTGTGTCCTAAATACATGATAACTAAAAAATTTTCCATTAACTCATAAAACACTCATTATTGGAGGCTAAATCTAGTTAGGTCAAATGCTCACACTGAATCCAAGGTAAATATGAAGAAAAAAGCACTTCATCTTATCAAATACCTAAAATATCACACTAAGATTTAAATCCTAGCTCAAAACCAAAAGTTTTGGAATATAAACTATTGTATATGTTGTCATCAGTCTACCTGGAAGACAAGGTGGACCCTTCATAACGTCACGCACTGACAAAACTGTGAGCAATATTTTTGTTCTTGCACTCTGTGAGCAATATTTTTGTTTCTTCTTTAAGAATACATTCTTTTTAAGAATACAATCCACATAAGCAAGTAAACAAGCATGAATCCATTTATTTAATTAATACTTAAAAGCCCAGTGAAAAATTGATTTTCATATATAACCCAAGGTGGGTATGGAATCACTTCTGGACCTGATTTTATTTGACTAGTTTCATTGTGAAATTTCATTAGTATTTTAATAGCTTTGAAAGAGCTGCCATGATGTCCTATATTGGATGTATTAGATGAAATTTGCTTCATGTGCTTTCTCAGCAGAAACTGTAGCAGTCCAAATGCTTGAATCTTAATTATACCAAAAGAAAGCTCTAATAGCAAAAGGGAAGCATGTATAGAGACTTTTTTCCCCACAAAATCAAATTTGGCATTTAAACTTTGGTAAACTTTAGGGGGAAAAAAATGTCAATTTTAAAAGTAATAAAGGAGATCAATGGCTTTATACCTAAATGGCTTTATAGGATGGACATAAAATGGCAGAGCTGTAGACATAGCTGTGAATATGGTGTTTTCTCCTGTCTTTCTCACTTCTCTCTGAAACCAGTGAGAGTATGAATTAGTTTCAGAGCAGTCTACTACTTGCCTGCATGCTATGCCACGTAATTTCCATTGATTTCTGTGAGAGAATAAGGTCCTGGTAGAGAAAGCTTTCATAGCAACTTCCTATGCCTGTAGCCCTTAAATTTTCTGAATGATGTATGGACTGACAGGCTGAAAACAGCTTCTCTTAATTTGGGACTTGATTCAGAAGTCTGTTTAATCATGTCTACCTTTAGAGCATGAATAGTCACTCTGAAATCATTGAGATGGCTCATTTTCTTAGAATTATGCTTCTATTAAATTATAGGGCTGAATCAGGACCTGAAATATTAAATGTCTGGATTTCTATGGTTATAGCAGTATGTAGGTTGCTGGTGTTCATTCTAAGATCTGTAGTCTTCATGCCTGGGTTTCACTTTGGAGGAGAATGAAGCAGAATAGGGATGGGTATTGGCTGATACAGGTCAATTGCTTACTGGGAGAAGAGAAGAAAGTCTTCAATGTTCAAGTTGGGGCAACCTGTTAAATATTAGATTATTTCTAACAACTATCCAGCATGACAGAGTTGTGAATCTGAGTTGTGAAAACTTTTCTTGACAAAGCCAAAAACCTGCATGTTTCAGGAGTCCTTTACAAGTGTGAAACGTTTTTCAGGATTACAACTCTATTGACTTGATAATCCTTTCAGGAGAAGTTCAGTTTTGCAACTACTGAACTACAGACTCTGTGCAAAGGATAATGTGGTTTGCATGGTCTAGCCACAGTCTAGAAAACCATGTGTCTGAAATGCAGGTCCAGACTAAAATGAAACTAAGATTACTTTGCGCTTCAACCACTTGCATCACTTTGAATTGCTGCTAGAAGTGGGAAAGAAAAATAAAACTCCTGTCTTCCAAACTGTTCTAATGAATGACTAGCTTGTTTCTGCAGTGAAGAAATGCAATATAAGAAATGAGTCATCTGGGAATATTTTTATCCTCAAAGATATTATGTGTAAGAAACAAATCCTTTTGGTATTATTAAATGTTGTGGACTCTAATTATTTTTCATATATTCAGTTTTTTCTGACTGTATTTAGAATATTGAACTGCAGTGTCACTTGGAGTTCATATATTCCACCAAAATTAGAACAGATGGTTTCTTGTGATTATCTATTTCATGTTCTAAAGAGAAGACTAATTCTCCAAACCTTACAGCTAAAACATCTGAACAAAGAAGTGGCAAAGTAGCTTCATTTATTTAAAAATAGCAGATGGTGTATACAAGCAGAATGCTAATTTATTGGGTACTGTGTGATCATTGCTCTCTGGAGGGATTAGAAACTCTTGCACTTCATAACTCTTCCTGTCATGATTTAATGTGTAAATATACCTCTCATTTTGACAGCTGAACAGCTTTTCAGAATTATCTGCAGTTCAAGTAATGTCGTAATATCTTTGATTACATGGTAAATGGATGGTGATGACCTTACCCTTCATCTCATTTTCTAGATTATTTAGTGTAATATTGGAACAATTAACCAAAGAAACAGAAGGTGGCAGCCACTCAGGTGGCAAACCTGGTGGCTTTGATGTCAAAGCCCTAAGAGCCTTTCGTGTATTGCGACCTCTCCGGCTTGTATCAGGAGTGCCCAGTAAGCTCTTTTCTATTTAATTCCTTTGGAATGAGTACTGTAACTGATCTGATTATTTAACTTTCTTGTTCCAGACACTAACAGAAATGAGATAATATAAAGTTGATTTTTTGTTATCTGGTTATGTATATAAAGTGAGTTTCGAGATGAATGATACCCTATTTCAAGTTGAACGAAGGATTGTGAATTCATTCAGTGTATGATCTTCTTACATAGTTCAGTAAGCAGACAGGGGAATACACTTTTTAGAAGCTTTATATAAAAGTAAATTACATGTTAAAACGCAAATACACCAGAAGAAAAAAAAGACAGATTTTTTTTATTTCAAAACCCTGCAGATCTGAAAGTGTAGGTGGTCCTAAAATAGTTTATATATTGGTAAGTGTGTGCCAAAGCACATTACACATTGCATATTTCCTGCCCCCTCCAATGCACATGAATGCCTTCTGTTTATCTCATTAGACCTAACGGATAAATTAGGGAACCTAAAAAGTAGAACAATATTATTTAAAGAAAGCAATTGAATTTTCTGATAATCTTTCCTGTTTTCTTTTAATACACTATTAATTACTGAAGCTATTTGGGCTGAATAAGAGGATCGTGGCTTACAATTCAGCTCTTTCCAAGACATTCAAAATAAGAATCCTAATGCTGTGTTTATTATATCATAGTCTGTTACATGGAAATGATTGTGATGGTATATATTTAGCAAAAGAACTTCAGTGAAGAAAGAAGCAGTCTTACAAAATGTCAGAAAGGAAGTCTATTAAAATTAAAATGAGCTATATTTTGTTCTCATTGGTACTTGGCAGCTTCATTAGTCTGGGATTTGCTTCTTTTGGTAAGACCAAAATTTGGCTAAAAATTTAATTAAGGAGAAAAAATAAAAAAGAAGTAGTTTTGAAAGTGATGTGAGGGATAAATGATGAAGTAAGTTTGTTCAGAGAAGAAATGTGTTTTCCCAGGTAACTACACCCTATTTATCTCTCCAGACCAAAAATACAGTTCTGTGATTGGCTGAGCGTACGTTTTCTCAGGACTTGCCACGAAGTTGTGGTTGTAGCACAGAATTTTTTAAAGGTCATATAAAATGATCTACAGCCACACACTAACTACCTGCCCTTTCTTTCTAAAAAACCATAAATTCTTGTGACACATTTCAAGCATTGACTTCTATGGCATGACCTTTATTAACAGAGGAAATAATTAGACTTTGGCACAAAGTTTTAGATTCTTCTGAATTATTTTATGTTACAGGAATATTTTGTGGCTCTGGACAGTAGAAATTTTTTTTAAAACTGATGCACTCTGCATGCCTGTAGCATCAATTTCTAATAATGTACAATTACAGAAAATTCAGTAAGGCAAGACATAGAAGTCTGGTTCATATTTTTGTATCCTCTTTTTTTCTTTTAGGTTTACAAGTTGTCCTGAACTCCATTATAAAAGCCATGGTCCCCCTCCTCCATATTGCCCTTTTGGTATTGTTTGTAATCATAATCTATGCTATTATAGGATTGGAACTTTTTATTGGAAAAATGCACAAATCTTGTTTTCTTATTGATTCAGGTAAGTCATGAAACTGTTGACTAAAATAAGGGATTAATTCCATTTTTTTTCAAGTCTGTGGGATTTCACTTTGAAATGGAACAGGGGCCAAAGCACTGAAACTGTTGTAACTCCAGTTTTCACTGTGCTTCATAATTTTAGGAAGAGTGCATTAAATTTAAAAAACAACAACAATGCAAACTAGTTAGAGACTAGAACATGCTCTGAATAGTTTTCGTTTCTGAAATGTGTAACTGAAATGTCAGTAGTGAAAATAGTAAGGGTGACTATCTACAAGGGACAACAGTTTTTTCCAATGTCTGATTACTGAAGAGCTAGCTAGTCCTATTCCAGGGAAGATACTTTCCTGAGTTCACAATCTGGCAGTGTCTCTCCTTCAAGATTGTCGCAGTGTGTAAGAAGTTCAGTTCTGAAATGAGCAACGAAAGAAAAGCGTTCATCCATCCACGTGAAACGATGAAATGGAAGTGTTTGTTATGGGAGAATTTTGAAGGAGTGAAACATCATGATGGAGTATCTGATGGCTAAGGGTACATTTCTATCAGCTAAATAATGAAGTAGACTATATGTAGGAATGGGTCCAGACCTGTTTCTTTGGTGGTCTGTATGTTAGTATGAAGTGGCATGAAGTGAAGAAACAGCAATGAAGAGAAAAAAAAGATTAGCATGGGGAGATTCTAAAAAGATACGTTGTATTATTACATGCTTCCTTCCATGGCGTAATTACTCGAGCTCTTTTATACATTCAGTTTTGATTAGCCTATTTTAAGGCTGTAAGGCCCAGATGTGAGAGACACTAAAAGCTCCAAAGCTTCCACAGGTTGCCTTTCTGAGCATTTCTCAGGTTGATATCTGGATTTACCTTCCAACAGGATTGATATTTCTTCATGCAAAGAGTTAGCTCACAAAAATTTGAGAACTGAAAGTTCTGATTTTTTTGGTCAATTTTCAGATATACTAGTTGAAGAAGATCCAGCACCTTGTGCATTCTCAGGGAATGGACGTCAGTGTGTCATGAATGGCACTGAATGTAAGGGTGGATGGGTTGGACCAAATGGAGGCATAACCAACTTCGATAATTTTGCATTTGCGATGTTGACTGTGTTCCAGTGTATAACCATGGAAGGATGGACTGATGTGTTATACTGGGTAAGTTCATAAATCACAGAGCTTTGTTTACTTTTAAACAATGTTCAAGTGAGAAATAAGCTGTATCTTACAATACTGTCAGCGGGAAATCTTGGTGAGTTTTGCAGGAGATGAGCTCAGCTGCATACTTTTTCCAGTCACAGCATCTTACTGGAATCCTCAGGCTAAGAAGACTTTTTAGAAAGAAATTTATTCATTGCTTATTTGAGGAGGTTTTGCCTATTCCATTTGGATAAATGTAATATTACATTTATGTCTTTTGGACTAGCATTTTTTCGTGCAAGCCTATGGTTTTTAAGTATACACAACATTAATATAAACTAGAACAAAGCAAGCTCTAAACTGTCATTGCTTGCCATGGGGACTGCAAATGGTTTGTTAACCTTTCAGAAACAACAAATCACAAGACCTGTGAGCCTGACATTGTCTCTGTAGAAGCAGCAAAAGGTATTATTACTAACTGTAAGTCCCCACCTTTAAATGCTACTCTAACATCAGGTATGGAACCTCCACAATCTTACAACATAAACAGACAACATACAACAGCTGGGCACAGACTGGGAAACTGAAGATATATTTAGTCCTGATTTTACAAATGAGAACGGAGGAAAAAGAACACACAGATTTTTAGAGGACTAGGGTCATCTAAATGTACTGGTAGATATTTCTCTGCCTAACCCCCTTCCAATCTAAGGACATTACATTTTTTCTGTGAATCTTTAAGCACCTAATATCTTATGTGAGTGATTTGACCAAGGTCATTCAAGAAGTCTGTGACAGACCCTACCTACCACAGGTGCTGAAAATCAATGAGAATATTCTGTACTACTCAGTACTCAGCAGTAAGTCTTTGCAGCAATTAGGGCCTTACAACAAATATAATTCTAACAGTTCAAATATTGGACAATATTTATGAAAGAAGAAAACTGATTACAAGTAAGGATCACTATTAGCAAACTGTTAAAAATGGATGAGCTATCTCAAGATGTGTCTTACTGGAACTATACTCTATTTTGTGTTGCTCACAGCAGCTCACATTTTGATTTCCTGTAAGTTTGTCTGGCCAAGTGGGACTATTTACTAACAGCACATTTGTTGTGGAGTATTGGATGCAGTTAAGGATGTAGTATTACCCAGTGTATGAACAGTTAATTTTATGTGGTCGTTTGTTGCAAATGAAGGTGAAATATGCTGTTGCTAAAAAAAAAAATGTAACACCAGAGTATAGTCTCAGATAAAATCTGTGATACTAGAATATAGAATATGGAGATGTTTTTAAGATAATGTCACTTAAAAATAATTAAGATGGTAAACTGGCATTCTTTTAGGATTGAAAGACAAAAAGATTTGGCAAAATATGAATCTCTGCTTCCACTTTCTGTTATCAGAGATACAAAATTGGCTATGAACATGCTAACCTTCAATACTAAAGAGTCTAACAATAATGCATAGCTACATGTAGGCTAATGTATTTTTTCTCATAGTGTAGGTTTATCAATTCTTAGGGGTTTGTTCGCCAACTCTTCCTAATTTTCTGAAAGAGACTGTGTGAATGTAGAATTAGTACGTGCTTTATAGGGTTTGTGTTCGTGATGATGACAGTTATTTTTATCCCTCCTGAAAGAAAAGGGAAGGTTTGCCATGATTCTCTAGAAAAAAAAATACACATTTAACATCTTTCAAGGCAAAAGTATGCCAACATTTCAGTACCTGATAATTCCTCCAACTGTCACCAATTTTTTTCAAAGAAAATTAATATAAAAACTTTGGGAATTACTGTATTTGTAATATGATTGTTACAAAAGATATAGAAACAATTTAAGCTGAGTGGCTTACTGTTAAACATTTTTTTCCCTAAGAATTAATGAGCTAATGGATCTGATGCATCTTAAGAAATCTTTGTAGAGTCTCCATTGACAGCACAAAAAATAAAACCATTAAAATAGGATGCTGAATATTGTCATGATCGGACAAAATGCATAAGAGAACTAAAAAATAAAAAAATTCAAAACTGCACACATGAGTTATTTTATTTATTTCTCTGTAACGAGTTCCTGATGTAGAAGATACCTACAGATACACAGATGTCAGTTTTCATTTTATTACAAATGATACTGGGATTATTGGACAGAGAAGCAAATATTTATTGACCTAGTGAAATATGATCAAAGTCAGATATTCAGGTGGCTTTGGAATCTGTCTTAACTGACGTTTATATAAATAAATTATAGATCTGGATTCTTTGTATCTGTAGATCAACGAATTGCACATTGTCAAGTTGAAATTACTTGCTGACGACAAGAGAAATGACAATTTATATTTTACCCCTGGACTAAGCTGAGATAGATTTAGCTATTGCTAGCTAAAAATTGGAAAATATTTTGTTTTAATTGCAAATTGTGAAAACATTAGGGGTATACCAGATTGTAGTAAAAATGTCCAAAGAATCTAAGGAAGCCATTTTAGCTAGAGGTGCATGGGTTTTGTGGGTTGCTTTTTATTTAGAAATCTGTTGATGATACACAGACTGAATGAATTTTATATAAAACATGAACAAATAAAACCAAAACCGCAAATATTAGAAACTGCACAAAATTCTGATTTCCATTTGGTCACTGTGTGAACAGTAAAATTAACTACGTAGGCTTATCTCACTAGCAGGTGTAATCTGAGTGGGTGAAATACGTGCAATATTTTGCATCATGTTATGTGGCATTCTGTTAGCAAGAATGACAGCTGAAAATGACAGCTTCCGATAAGACTCACTAGCACAGCTTGTTATCACCTGGTTAACAACAGTAAACTCTGCTTAAAAATTCTCCAAACATCAATAATGGTTTTTCTCTTATGCATATCTATTATAGATTGAGGGCTTGATCCTGCTACTGCTAAGCACCCTTCAGATCCTGGTGACTCACATGGACATTCTGCTGCTCACCAGTTTGCATCTGAATCCCATATTATCCTATTATTTTTTGAAGTGTCTTCGTCTGGCTACTAAGAGAAAACTCTCTAACTTATGTGTATCTCACTGGATAGCATGTATTACATGTTTCATTCACAAAAAATGTGACTCCTTAGTGCCAAATGCTAGACTTAACTACAGAGGTTAAGGGGCAGTGTCCTTGTTTTCACCAATCAGTGCAGCATATGTGTTCCCAAACCATAGAATATGTTTGTGGCTGCACATCTGTACATCTTCTCCATTTATATCAGAACTGTGTTTATTCTCAGTCACAGTCCTTTCTGTTGCTCTCTAGCCCTAGCTGAAGGCTTACGCTGTTAGTTTTGGATCCCCACGCAGTCCTTGTTATTGGCAAAGTGGCAGCCTCTGTGTGCCCAAGTTTTTAATGCTCTGGCTCGCATTCTAAAGCTGAGAGCATAGTATTCTTTGCCTCATTTTCAGTTTATGCTAGCAAGCACTCAAGAATTACAAAATCTGAGTCTGCATTTGCATATCTGGCTCTAGATTTTTTCCATGTCTTTCAAACATCTAGATTTATAGTCTATTAATGGCAAACATGTATTTTGTAAATTGCTTTTTGTTTTTAGCTATTTCACTTGATACGTAGGAACACACATAATGAGCAGTGGTACTTGCCAGTAAAACCCCCAATTTTCCCATGAGTACCAGAATTATCACATTTAATTTTTCTTGTTTTCATCATAGTGAAGTTATCTTGAGTTACTACACTTGAATAATCTGACACACTGACACTACTGTAACGTGAATAAGAGATGGGCAGGGCCTCTGTGAAACAAACTGCTTTATGTGATGGGTTGCCAGTGCAGTTGATTTAATGATGGAGCAACTGTATTAGTGGCTACTGAATTTTACTAAGTCAATTTTATGGACAGATGTTGCATTACTAGCTCAAATTTTAACAGCTCCTCAGTTCTCTGACACCTAGCTAGCACTATTCAATTTTTGAAATTGAAGCACTCAAGCTGAAATTGCTGAATAATGGTACATTGATGTCTTATATAGTTTTGCCTATTAATACATCTATTGATATGCTAACAAGATATTCTCTCAAGGATTCATGTTTAAAATACACAATTCATTACCTGAAATGTCTAAGCAATCTAAACCTAAATGTCTAAGGTGTAGTCTAAACTATATCTAAAACTTGCATAAGGTTTAAGGAAAGGGGTGTCAGTTTTTTAATATACCTTTTACTAATACGTCAACTTCTTAAAACTATGTCCTGTTTGATAGTAACATATGTTATCATCAAAGAAATATTTCATTCATAATTCCTCTGCTTTTATAACAAAGAGAAATGTGCACTTAGAAATCTGTTTCTTGCTTTAGAAATTAAGCTTTGTATGTCCCAATATACTCCTTGAAGCATCCTAGAACATTTGAAGAAAATCAATCGTTTCTGCAACACGGTCTGTTTAGGCTGCACTGCACTTCTGCATATGTCTAGTATGCAAGTGTCTACACAGCCATTGCATTAATGTTACTGGAAGTAACATATCAAGATAGAAAAGACTGTATCAGTATTTCTTTAAATGCATTTCCATAACCAAGTACAAGAGCTGTGGCTTCCTTACTTGCTTTCCAATAGTACAAGATGACTTTCTTTATTATGCATAAACTAAAAGGTAGAAAATCACTATATGTTTGTTTTCTAACTGGATGAGAATTTTAAAAAATGATTGTAACTCCCACATAAACCTGTGCGTAGAAAAGAAAATAATTACAATAGTAAAACAAAGCAGTCTATTGATTTTTCAGAATGTCAATCAGATTATCAAGAACTCAAACAATCTTCTAATCATATCACTTTTTACACATGAAGTTCCTAGTTCAAGAATCTTAGACAGCCTACTCCGAAGTATTATAAGGGGATATATCAGCTGAAACCAGCTGATGTGCAGCCGAAGATTTTTTCCTAAACACAAGCAAATAGTTTGCAAATATATCTCACAAGAAAACCCCTTGACTCAGGCACAAAGTGTATTATTAGTCCATAAACAAAAAGTTGCAAAGT